CAAGGCTGCGGTGGCCGGGAGCGGCCACTGCACTCCAGTCTGGGCGACTGAGCGAGACTCTAACTCAAAAAAAAAAAAGAAAAGAAAGCAGTACAGTTGAGGCTGCGGTGGCCGTGAGTGTGCCACTGTTCTCCAGCCTGGAAGACAGAGTGAGACTCTAACTCAAAAAGAAAAAGAAAGCAGTACGACATATATATATCTTTGGCTACAGACAGGGACATCCCACTGTCTGAGAGGCAAAGGCGGGGAAGGGGGAACAGCAGGCGAAATCACCAAGGTAATCACATGGCCTAGGAAGGCTGCCTTGAATCTGCCAGGACCAAATTCTTGAACGAAGCTCTAGGAAGTGCTATGGAGATCCAGGAGGAGGAAAAGACAGCAACAGCTCTAAGATCTCCAAACACTGAATATGATTAATAGAAAACGTGGGCTGAGGTGAGTGGATTGCCTGAGCCCGTGGGTTCGAGACCCACCTGGGCAGACAAGACCTCATCTCTACAATAAATCAAAAAATTAGCCGGGCGTGGTACCACGCGCCTGTAGTTCCAGCTACTTGGAAGGCTAAGGTGGAAGGATCGCCGGAGTTCAGCAGGTCGAGGCTGCATTGTCTGGGAGCGGCCACCGCACTCCAGTCTGGGCGACAGAGTGAGACTCCAACTCAAAAAAAAAGAAAGAAAACGTGGGACCTAGCTGGGCCTGCGGGGTTCAAGACCCACCTGGGCAACTTGGCGAGACCTCATCTCTACAATAAATCAAAAAATCAGCCGGGTGTGGTAGCGCGCGCCTGTAGTTCCAGCTACTTGGAAGGCTGAGGTGGAAGGATCGCCGGAGCCCAGCAGGTTGAGGCTGCGGTGGCCGGGAGCGGCTACTGCACTCCAGTCTGGGTGACAGAGTGAGACTCCAACTCAAAAAAAAAACAAAGGCCAGTCAGGATTAGTCAATCAGCCTGTAATCCCAGCACTTTGGGAGGCCGAGGTGGGTGGACTGCCTGTAACTACAGGTTCGAGTGCAGCCTGGGCAACTTGGCGAGACCTCATTCTCAACAATAAATAAAAAAGCTGGGTGTGGTAGTGCAAGCCTGTAGTTCTGCCTACTTGGAAGGCTAGGCAGAAGGATCGATGCTGGGGTAGCCATGAGCCTGCCACTGCACTCCAGCCTGGGTGACGGAGACTCCAACTCAAAGGAGAAAGAAGGCTGGGTGCAGTGGCTCATGCCTATAATAATAGCACTTTGAAAGGCTGAAGCTGGAGGATTGCTTGAGCCCAGCAATTTGAGACCACCCTAGGCAACATAACAAGACCTTCGCTCTACAAAAAAACACCTGTACCTAAACACAAATTACTCAACGGCTACCCTAACATCTTTCTCCTCCCTGACCTCACCAAGGGAGTCTGGCTCTGCTTTCAATGCCTGCAGCTCCTCAGGTGGAGAACCCCACTCAGAGTTCTTCAGGATTGAAGGTGAGCTTCTCACTGCCAGGCCCTGCTCCTCCCCTTGTGCTGGCCCAAACCCAAGTTTGAACCACTGGCTATGGCCTCCCGCTGCCCTCATCCCTGGCCCACCCTCAGAGAACCAGAACACCTATCGATGTCTCCTGGAATCATGCAATTACCCACACGTCCCAGGAGAACCAGAACACCTATCGATGTCTCCTGGAATCATGCAATTACCCACACATCCCAGTCCCCTATGCCACATCTGTATCAGTCAGCTTCTGCACGTAACAAGCCACCCAAATCTTAGTGGCCGAAACAACACTGATAGTATATTTCTCATAAGTCTGTAGCCAGTTGGGCAGTTCCTCTGGGCTGGGCCCAATCAGATGAAGCTGGTTTCTGATGGCCTCACTCAACTGGACTCTCAATTGGGCAAAACAAGTCGTGTGACCCACACAAAGGCATGACTGCAGGGAGCAGTGATTCATTGGGGGCCATTACTGGAATAATCAATAGCCTCCGGGCCATGTTAGCCACCAAATGCTGAGCCACCACTTGGGTCTCCTCAGAACACTCACCTTCTGCCATCGTAACTAAACCACACCTGTCCCTCCTCCCTATGCCTCTCTCAGGCTGATGCCAGCATTCCCACTCCTGTGCCCCATCCTCAACTTGGACTCTCTGGCCAACTCCCTCCTGCTCGCCACACTAGCCTAAGAAGCACTGGTCCTGGACCAATCCCAATGACCAAATTCTCCCATGGCTGCAGGGCCCCACGGGAGCACTGAGGTGCCCCCAGCACTTTATGAGTAGCAACAAGGTGGGTTCTCCCAACTGTCCCAACTGTCCCCATAGCAGTCGGGAGTTGTCAAACCTGACCCCTCCCCCTTTCTCTTAGCAGATGGCCTGGCCCCACGGCATCCTCTGCTTTCTTGTCTTCAAAATCCATGACTCCAGCACATTTTATATAAACTTGTGTTTTTTGTCTGCCCCCTCTAAATTTAAGCCCAGCCGGGTGCGTTGGCTCACGCCTGTAATCCTAGTACTTTGGGAGGCTGAGATGAGAGGAATGCCTGAGCCCAGGGGTTCAAGACCAGCCTGGGCAACATGGTAAGACCTGATCTCTACAATAAATAAAAAAATTAGTCAGGCATGGTGGCGCATGCCTGTGGAGCCCAGCAGGTCGAGGCTGCGGTGGCCGTGAGCATGCCACTGTACTCCAGCCTGGACAGTGAGACTCCCAACTCAAGAAAAATTATAAAATAAGTTTAGGCTCTGAGAATAAGGCTGGCTTTTGTCTTTTAACTACTGTATCTTTAGTACCAGAATCATGCATGGTATCTAGGAAGTTGGAGGGAGGGACCCTCTGTGTTTGGTTCATGTGTAAATTATGAACCAAAGAATAAGCCCACAGTAAGCAGAGCTCAGTGGGGATGGTGTGCTAAACTTGCAGGGTTCCCTGCAGCCACCTCCCTGCAGGACAGGAGAGGGCCTCAGAGCAGTTCTGGAGAATGAGCGAGACCCCGGGCAGAAGACGGCAAGGGGCAAAATCACCTGTTCAGAGTATAGCTGATGGACCCCCTGCACAAGTGTCATCCACCGGTGATGTTAAGACCCCCATTTCCAGACCCTGCCCCAGCTGCCTATGACTCACTCCCAAGTCAGAGTGCCCAGGAATCTGCATCTTTAGGCTGCAGCAGGTGACTCTTCAGGACATCCTTCACCCCAGTCTTGGTATGAGCCACAGGAGAGGAAGACAACCCCGTCCCCATCCTCACCTTGGCCAGGGGTCGTCCAGCAATACTGACAGCCCCGTGTGTTGTGGGGCCCAGGCCTGCATGTTAGTGACGAAGCCTGGGGAAGAAGCTGGGGAGAAGGTGGGTGCCAGGCTAAGAAAGCACAGAGGCTCAGGGACATGAGCCAGGCGTGGTTCTGCAATGGAACCTACTGAAGCACACAGCCCAGTCACATGGGCTGCGGGAGGCAAGGTGGGAAGACAGAGCACGTGTCCCCTTCTGGGATCCAGATTGTGACGCGATGTTTGGCTGGAAAGGGCTGGAAGAACCCTCTGTGTGAACTCAGTGGGGAAGATGTGTCTGAGGCCAGACAGACCCAGACTCTGGCGAGCTCACAGAACTTACCTCTTTTGAGATGTCCACATCTCTCACCCCACGCCAGAGGACCTGCCCCCAAGCCTTTCTTGGGGATGAGGGTCTGAATCCAGGTCCAGGTATGGGACTGTCCCACACCCACTCTACCTTGACCCCCCAGGGATGGCCATGTGCCCTGTGCCATGAACCCCACTGCTGAAAACATCACTTCCCCATCTAGGCCTTCTCAGATGTGGCATCTCCCGCCTTCAGTCCCCACTGACTCTTCTCAAGGACCAAAAGCCAAGCACGACTGTCCACAGATCCTGCCCAGGACAGGCTGAAGCCCAGGCTGCAACCACTGCCACAACCTCAGGGATTTAAAGCCACTAGGGCAGAGGGTCTGGCCCTCCTTGGCTCCTGCTCAGCCTTGGCTTCTGTGGCTAGAAGGTTCTGCCCAGCTGCCCATCGCTCCTCTTCCCGTTTACTGGTCTGACCTGGGGACTAGGCTCAGGCTAAGGCAGGGGGCTCGCTGGAGGACAGGCGAGCCACTAATGCACCATCCCATCACCCACTCCCAATCCACGGCCGAGTCCTCAGACCTCTGTGGTGATGCCCACTGGAAGCTGACAAGAGACATTGCTCCCAGCCCATGGCTCGTCTGGGGAAACAGGGTGCAGAGGCCTCAGGCCTGGGTGGTACAGACAAGGCTGTGCTCTGAGGATGAGGGCCTGGGTCCCCACATCCCAGGAGGGGCCCTGAGAACAGTCACCAGGGAACCCTGAGCAGGGCCCAGGAGAAAGGCAGAGCGCCGAGCAGCAAAGGGGAAAGGCAAGTTTATTCTTTCAAGAAAATGTACCAACGGGTTGAGGAGAGGAGTACCCCCACCAGGATCTATGCAGGGTCTGAGATGAGGCCAGGCTGGACCCGGGCTTGGGAGAAGCTGACCGGACTCCTTGTAGCCTTGGGAGGGAACTGGGCAGACATAGGAGTGGGACTTTGTTCTGTTAGCACCAGGAGCCACCTGCAGCTGGACTCAGTGACAAGTCAGCATGTGGCTTGTTTACCTCCACCTGAGCAGTCTAGGGAGAGGCTGACAGCAGAAGGCTCCCTGCAGGTCACCTGAGTGTGACATACAAATTCACAGACCCTCCTGACCACCCAGCCCCTGTAAACATGAGAATGGGCATGTGACCTCCCAGGCCCTCAAGACAAGATGAGGGTCCGAGACGTGTGGTTGGGCTTCAAGCGGCCCAGGAGCTGCCGGGCCTTCTCCTGCATGAAGAGCTGGTCCCTGGTCCCCCCGCAGGCCACCGTCTTCCAGGCACTGGTCATCTGGAAAGGGGCAGGAGGGTTACCTTACAGGCAGGGACAACATGCCCCAGCAAACCCTGGTGATCCTGGCCGGGGACGAGAGGAGGCATTTCTATGCCCTCCCTTCCTCTAAAGCCAGAAGCTTTCTTGGGCTCTTTCTCCCCTTAACAGGTGGCCCTGGGGAAGTTACTCCCTGGCTGTGGGCTTCCTCAATTGCCAAGCAAGAGGCAGGACAAGGAGACATGACTGTGCCCTGGATGCAGCACCAGCCCATAAAGAGAAGCCACAGCCAGGTGGACTGGCAAGAAGGAACAGTGACAAGGTTAGAGTATGCAGATGCTGATGAGAGCAGCGTGGGGCCAGCACCTGCCCTGAAGAACAGACTTGCACTAAGCAAGCCAAATAAGCAGATAATGATTTAGTTACAAGTGAGACCCAGGCCATAAAAGTGGGAGTATGTGGCATCAGGAAAGGCTTCCCTGAGGAAGTGGCAAATGGACTAAGCTCAGAAAAGTTAACCAAACAGTCTCAAGAGGGCAGCAGGAAGGAGCATGCAGGGAGAAGGAACAGCCTGTGCAAAGGCCTTGAGGTGAGAAGGCAGCATGGCGGGATCCCCAGCACTCACAGGGGCGGGTATCGGAAAGTGGCTTCGGGGTTTCTGGGCTGCAGCTGCCTTCTCGGGTTTGGCCTGCAGGAAGCCCTGGTTGAGCAGGCTGTTGTCTTCTTTCATACCTGACAGGGTAAGGCTGGAGGAGCCTGATGCGGCAGCTGTTGGCTGAAGTCAAAACAAGTCAGTCACCATTTTGCCACAAGCTCCTGGAGGGTAGGAAAAACCCGCCTTCCCATCCCAGTACCACCTCCTCCCCGCCGCTGAGGACAAAATGTTCACTTCTCCAAGCCTCAGGTTTCTCCTTCAGATGTCAAGTTTACATGACCTTAATCTTACTTTCTTACTTAATTTTCTCCTAAAGAACTTTGTTCCTAAAGAGATCAAGTAAGACAACATTTGCATAGTGCCAGTTCTGGAGCCTGACACTCCGCACATGCTCACTAACACTGCTCCTTTCATTGGAAGGTTCAGCCAGAACCACAGTTCTCCTGGAACCAGAAACATCCATGAACATCAGAAAGATATGCAACTGACCCGCAAAATACAGCAGAGTTGCATAGAGCACCTTTCATGCTTTTCCAGGACCTCTGCTCTGCCTGGCACTGTGCCCTCCTGACTTGGGCTCAGTGATCCTTCTAGAGCCAAAAACCTAGGGGTCAGGAAACTGGAGAGAAGCAGAAAGCAGTGGTGGTTCAATGCTCAACCTCAGGCCCACCTGACAATCTGTGCTCTCCGCTCCTGGCTGTGATGTTTTCTCTTTGGTAAGCTAACTACAAGGCCCTAAGCCCCAACCTGGCAGGGATCCTGGCCAGAGCTTCTCTTCAAGGACTATAAGGTAACCCTAACCTCTACTCATGACCCTGCCAGGCCTCTCTGCCTCCCCACTGGGCACCAGAGCAAGCTGGGCCAGCGGAGGGACCAGCAGCATGGCCTGGTTTCTGGGGATTCATGCTCTGCATAGGCAGCAACCCCCAACTCCTGAGGTTGGTCTGGCTGTGGTGCCGGCACCATAAGGGCACTGACCTGGGGGCTGGACGGCACTCACCCCAGGGCTGATGCGCCCCCAAGTGGCTGCTGCGCCTGAGGCACTCACTCGTCAACCCTCTCTAGGGTCACCCCAGGAGCAGAATGCAAGGGAGGGTGCTGGAGACCAGAGCCACGGTTTTCAAACATGTTCTAGCCACATAGCTCTTGCCTAGCAAAACCTTCTGTGAAAGACAAGCAGAGCTGCCAACTGAGGCCAGGGGTGGATGCCCAGACCCACCTTCCCTGACAGCCCCTCAGGCAGAGCCCAGTGTTCTGGAAGCCCAGTTCAAGAATCACTAGACCACCCCGCCTGGAGGGTCCTCTTCACAACTACATAATCCCAGAGGCAGAGGAGTCTTTCTGGGAGACACCATCCTCCCTAGTAGAAGAGCTCTCTACAGTTCTGGAGTGGGGTGGGGAACCCCTTACCAAGGACAGAGCCTTGGGCAGTGTGGACATCATCAGCTTCACATCCTCATCCACGATGTCAAGAGCCAGAGACTTCCGCACTTTCTTGATGGGGCTCCGCCGCAGCTGAGGGGAGGAAGGTATTAAGGTGTGCATCGAGGACTCCCGTGATCAGCGCCTTGATGACCATGGTCATAGATGGTCACAGAACCAGACCCTGTTGTGAAGAAGCCTTCAAGCAAGGCCTGGCTGGGGAGGATTTGCTGTCGGAGGCAGTGGGAGGACTTGAAGACTTTGGTCCTGTTATAGACTGCCCAAGGTGGACTCTGAACCGCCAGATGCAGCAACAGTGATCAAGGAAACAACATCAACTCCACCCACAAAGAAACCCACGACTCACCATTCAGTGGACCAGACACAGCCCTTCATAATTCCCCTACTAAACATTCTGCCAACAGGTCCAGCAGAAAATCACCCGTGTCACTTAAAACACACACCGACAGATGAATAACATGGCAACGTAAACCCATCTACAAAAGCCTGTATAAGAAATGCCAAGCCGGGCTTGTGGCTCAGCCTGTAATCCCGTGCTTTGGGAGGCTGAGGTGAGTGGATTGCCTAAGCCTGCGGGTTCGAGACCTGTCTGGGCAACTTGGCGAGACTTCATCTCTACAATAAATCAAAAAATTAGCTGGGCGTGGTAGCACACACCTGTAGTTCCAGCTACTTGGAAGGCTAAGGTGGAAGGATCGCCAGAGCCCAGCAGGTCAAGGCTGTGGTAGCTGTGATCATGCCATTGCACTCCAGTCTGGGTGACAGAGTGAGACTCCAACTCAAAAAAAAACCAAAGAAATGCCCGGCCCTAACCCTGCACCTCTCTCAAGCAGGTCATGGGTCTGCTCCAACACCAGGAAGGGGCTGAGACTAATGCCCCCCTCAGTCCAGCAGTGTGCCCCAACAGGTGCTGCCATGGCTCAGAACCACCCCCCACCACCACCCCCGGAGAGGCTTGAGAGGACCCTGGGGGTGACAGCCTCTCTGCCTACACACAAGCCCAGCCTAACTTCCCACCTCCCCCACCACTAACACCTGGTACATTCTACCATCCCTATCTCTCCCTCGAGGAGAGCAGTTTGGGGAAAAAGAGGAGTACAAAGCAAGAGAGAGAGAGAGATGGGGACTGGGCCCGCTCAGGAAAGCTAATGGTATAAGCAGGAGGGAGGAAGGTTGGCTGGGAGTTTGGCTTCTACACTAGCCTGGGATGGGTCCTTCCCTGCCCCTCTGCACCAAGCACCCCTGCCATCTGCACCTAACCTGAACCTACTCTCCCCCTGTCCCTCATGTGCCCCAACACCTAGCCCAGCGCTGCCTTGCCTGGTCAGCTCTTCCTGACCACTCTGCCTCCAACTGAAGACATGCCTCGGGATCGTCTCGGTGTTCCCTTTTCACTGCCCTTGATCCCCTGTGAATTCACACAGCCACAGGTGCATCTATCACCCATCTCTGGAGGAGAGACCATGTCTGGGTCTTTGTGGCCATCCCGTCCACCACCCACAGCCCAGGCTCACTTCAGAAGAATCCAGACACAACACTGTACAAATAAGTGCATCATTCAAAGGGGAGCAAGGGAGGGTCCCAGAGACACCAGGACCTCACCTAGTCAGTTTCATCAGTAGCCACTGGGGGAATAGGCAAAGGGTTCATGCTGCACCCCGTTTTCCCAGTGTCTCACTTTCACCACCTGTTCCCAACACACCGCCCCACCCCAAGCACCCAGGCTCCTACCCAGCCCCCCACTCACTTAACTTCTACGCTGACCTGGGACGGGCCCTTCCTTGCCCCTCTGCATCAGTCCTACCCGTCCCCCCACTCACCCCGGGCTTCCGCTTCTGCTTCTCAGGCCTTGTGTCATCCTCGATGATCAGCTCAATACCAGCCTCAGAGCGCAGCACCTCCTTCAAGTCTTCCTCCAGGTGCGGGGTCTGGGGCTGTGGGCAGGGCAGATGAGGCCCCACACTCAGGTGTGTGGGACAGAGCCCGCTCTTGGAGATAGAGGGGCAGACCAGCCACACTTGGGCTGTGCTGGGCAAGGCAGGCAGCTAGAACACTGACCTCACACATGTCATTCACAACCACACGTCATTCACATCCACAACCTTGGATGAGCGGTAGACAACCTTGGATCCCCACGAGCCAGCCATGGCTGGGAGCAGCCCACATCCCACAACAGCCTTCAAACAGTCCTGCATGGTAACTCCTCCTCTACAGGTGGGAACGCAGACTGGGATCAATCCTGACCCATGGTCACGCAACGGTTGAACTAGAACCCGGGTCCGCTCAAAGCCCAGGCCCACTCACCCACTTGTTCTGCACTAACGGGGATGCCAGAATTTTCCTTTCCAGGTCTGGGGATGCCATGCAACCTCTTCAGTGGCAGAGGACAGGGAGGATGAATACTACTGAGCGTGGAAGACGCAGGGCACAGTGACTCCTCAGAAGCCACATGGAAGATGCCCACACACTTTAATTACAGCTGCCAAGGTCATGAGATTTGCCCTCAAACCCCTCTGGAGAGTGCGCAGGCATTTTAGTATGGAGTCGAATTGCCACTGAAACAGGAAAGGAAGACTACCTAGTACCTTTCCTCTGCACCTGGTCCCTAGAGACCCTGCTGGACTCAGAATCAGTCCCAACACGGTTCCAACTGTCACAGGACTCACAGGAGGCTCCACAGGGTGGAGAGGGCAGAGAGGCGCCGCCCACAGACACCGCTCAAGCTCACAGTCTCCATGCTCACAACTCTCTTGCTTACCTTCCACTGATTTGATTTTATTATTATTTTTTTTTGAGTTGGAGTCTCACTCTGTCGCCCAGACTGGAGCGCAGCGGCCGCTCCCGGTCACTGCAGCCTCGACCTGCTGGGCTCCAGTGATCCTTCCGCCTCAGCCTTCCAAGCAGCTGGAACTACAGATGCGCGCTACCACGCCCGGCTAATTTTTTGATTTATTGTAGAGATGAGGTCTCGCCAAGTTGCCCGGGTGGGTCTCGAACCCGCGGGCTCAGGCAGTCCACTCACCTCAGCCTCCCAAAGGCGCAAGATTACAGGCTGAGCCACCAAGCCCGGCTTGATTTTATTTTTTAATTAATTTGTAGTTTTCAGGGGCTAGAAACATTCCACCGATTCTAAAATACGCACCAGCTCCAGAAGGCCTGAGGCACCAGTTCTTTCTTTATTCATAGGAAAGCATACCCGCCCCATCAATCAGGAAGAGTAGGGGGAGCGGGGCAACCTTTACCTCGGGAAAATGTCCTCGAGGGGCTTCCCGAGTTCTCTGGAGAACCGAGTGCGGGCCAGAAGGCAAAGCTTGAGCAGCAGCTTACCCCTTCTCTGAGCCAGGCAAGCTCCTGAGAAGTCTGCCATCCAGCACTGCCTGCCTTCTGCTCAGCACTGTCGTCGTCTGAAAGCATTTGTTATTTATGCTTCATGTCGGTCTCCCCCATCCTAAGGCCAAGCTTCATGGATATTACCGTGTCTCCAGCAGCCACTGGCGACTGCCTGGCACAGTCAGGTTCTCAGGAAATGTTGGAGGAGGTACTAAGTAGCAGCCTTGATCCCCCACTTATACAATCAGAATCTCTGTATCTTCTTGGGAAACAGACTCCCATGAGACCTCAGAGAGAAGGGCCCTGTAAACTATGCACGCTTGAATGAATCTAAGAGATCCCACTGCACAGAGACCCATGACAGCGACCGTGCCACGTACCAGGGGCTTCAGTGGTCCGTACTTCTCCAGGGCATTCTTGAATGGGGTTGGTGTGTGGGGAGTGTTGTCCATGGAGTACTTCTGGTCTGGGGTTACAAACCTGCCAGGGGCCGGAGAAGGGGGCTTAGTGACGGAGTGGGGGCAGACACCAGGCACTCTGCCGCCCCTTCCCATCTCATGACCTTTGGCACCAGCACAGGTTATCCTCCCACCTGCTCCCCATCCCACAGGCCTCAGTCAGGGGATCAGGGGAAGGGCCTCCTTAGAAAGAGAAGAGCAGGAAAGAGTCTAGGAGGGAGCAGGCAACCCAGACGGTGGCAGATGGCTGAGAACACTGCTCAATCACAGCCCAGACTCAGGACTTCCCAGAAAACAGGCAGCCTATGCCTGCTTCAAGCACAGTAGAGGGACAGGCAACTCTTGGTTGGAACCGAGGAAGACCACATCCCGGCCAGGCCTGTCCTGAGAGCAAATGGTAAACAGGGCGCTAGGAGTGGACTAAGTGGTTAGGGGAAGGAAAGGGCCGAAATCAGGTGTGAGACAGTGAGGCTAGCACCTTCTCATCACAGTGGGATGGACATGTGGAGGGGACGCCTCAGTAAAGAGGAATCTGGGAATGGTCTGGTCCAGAAGCAGAACTGTAAGATGCTTCTATCAGATGTGGACCCCCCATGGTGATTTCTGCCTGTAGTGGAAAAGTCCCCCAGGTAGAGATGAGGACAGAAGAGGCACTTTACACACCAGAGCACCAGGGCTGGCAATATGGGGTTGAGGCAGGCAGGCTATGGACATAGTCAGAGCTGACAGTGGGTACCAGGCTCAGCAAACAAGATCCCTTGTGTGAGCACATGACCTTATTAACCCAGAGACACTCACAGCTGACTCTCAAGGCACAGATGGGTGGTTAGAGGACATGACAAACACCCGAGGGCAGCTGGGAACACAGTGCCGAGTCAACGTCTGGACACTTCCGCCTGGGGCCTTGCCAGCCCCACTTCCCACAGCCTGCCAGCCATTCCACAGGAGGAGAAAAGACAGAACAAGTGCAGACCATCGTGTTCTTCTTCAGGATTTAGAGGCTTAACAGGAACCCACAGTCTCTTCCTAAACCCACACGATTGCCCCTCTCTGGAAGAAGAGTAAAGACGGGCCAGGCCCAGTGGCTCAAACCTATAATGCTAGCACTTTGGGAAGCTGAGGTGAGAGGATTGCCTGAGCCCATGGGTTCAAAACCAATCTTGGCAACTTGGCAAGACCTCATCTCTACAATAAATCAAAAAATTAGGCTGTGCTCAGTGGCTCAGCCTGTAATCCCGGCACTTTGGGAGGCCAAGGCAAGTGGATTGCCTGAGCCTACAGGTTCAAGACCAGCCCGCGCAAATTGGCGAGACCTCATCTCTACAACAAATAAAAAAATCAGCCTGGCACGGTGACACACGTATATAGTACCAGCTACTTGAGAGGTTGAGGCAGAAGGATCGCCTGAGCCCAGGAGGTAGAAGCTGTGGTGAGCTGTGACTGTGCCACTGCACTCCAGCCTGGCCAACAGTGAGAACCTAACTCAAAAAATTAAAAAAAAAAAAGAGCGAAGAAAAATCCATCAATTAAGATGAACCCAGAACTGACATATATGCGCAAATTAGCAAACAAGGAAGGACATTTACAAAGTTAAATAGAGCCGGCTCGGTGGCTCAGCCTGTAATCCTGCGCCTTGGAAGGCTGAGGTGAGTGGATTGCTTGAGCCCGCGGGTTTGAGACCCGCCTGGGCAACTTGGTGAGACCTCATCTCTACAATAAATCAAAAACTAGCCAGGCGTGGTAGCGCACGCCTGTGCGCACGCCTCAGCTACTTGGAAGGCTGAGGCGGAAGGATCGCCAGAGCCCAGCAGGTCGAGGCTGCGGTGACTGGGAGCGGCCACTGCACTCCAGTCTGGGTGACAGAGTGAGACTACAATTCAAAAACAAAAACAAAAACAAAAACCAAAGTTTAAGTAGAGATGGGCGTGATAGATCCAAAATGAACTTTAAAGGTAAAAATTACAATACCTGAGATGAAAAACTGTGCTAGATGGGATAACAGCAGATTAAAGACAGCAGATGGAGGCGGGCTTGGTGGCTTAGTCTGTAATCCCAGCACTTTGGGAGGCCGAGGTGAATAGACTGCCTGAACCTGCAGGTTCGAGACCCACCCAGGCAACTTGGCAAGACCTCATCTCTACAATAAATAAAGTTAGCCGGGCGTGGTAGGTGCGCTTGTAGTTCCGACTACTTGGAAGGCTGAGGTGGGAGGATTGCCTGAGCCCTTCAGGTCGAGGCTGCAGTATCTGGGAGCGTGCCACTGCACTCCAGTCTGGGCGACAGAGTGAGACTCCAACTCAAAAAAAAATAAAAAATAAAAATAGCAGATGGTGGGGGGGGTGGGATTGGAAGTTGAGGGAAACTGCCAGGGGAGGGAAGGGCACACCTCATCAATAAGGGTTATCTGCATAATGTACATTTGCATACCTAACCCTGAATTGTACACCACAGCTTCAAGAAAAAAAAAAAAGCAGAGGCACAGTGGCTCACTCCTATAATCCCAGCACTCTGGGAGGTCAAGGTAGGAGAAATGCTTGAGTCCATGAGTTTGAGACCAGCCTAGGCAACATAGCAAGACTATCTCAACAACAACAACAAATCCAAAAAATTAACCAGGTGTGGTGGCGTGTGCCTATAGTCCCAGCTACTCAGGAGGCTGAGGCAGAGGGATCCTTGAATCCAGCAGTTTGAGGCTGCAGTGAGCCATGATCAGGCCACTGCACTACAGCCTGGGTGACAAAGTAAGACTCTGACTAAACAAATAAAAATAAATAGCAGAAGAAAATATTAAGGACTTGAAGACTTATAAGCTCAATCCTCCAAGCACAAGAAACAAACAAAAACATATCAAGGGACATTATAACCGAAATTATTCAAAACCTGATAATGAAAAAGTACCAGCCAGAAGACAGGAGAATATCTTTTTTTTTTTTATAGTTGGAGTCTCACTCTGTCGCCCAGACTGGAGTGCAGTGGCCACTCCTGGCCACCGCAGCCTCGTCTGCTGGGCTCCAGCGATCCTTCCGCCTCAGCCTTCCGAGTAGCCGGAAGTACAGGCATGCGCTACCACACCGGGCTGATTTTTTTGTTTATTGTAGAGATGAGGTCTCGCTGCCCAGGCAGGTTTCAAACCCACGGGCTCAGGCAATTCACTCACCTCAGCCTCCCAAAGGCGCGGGATTACAGGCTGAGCCACCGAGCCCAGCTGGAGAACATCTTTAAAGCACTATAACAGTAAAGAATGACCTTCAGAAAGAAGGAACCAGATGGAAATATGAATATAGAGAGGACTGAAGAGCACCAGCAATGTTTTCTGCTGTAGAAGAGAGGAAGAGGAGAGGAGGAGAGAAGCAGCAGATAAGGGGCTTGGGTGAGAAGGAAGAGAGAAAGCTGGAGCTCAGTTTAAAGGCTTAGATGTGAAGTCCAGGATTCTGGCTGAATGGAGAATAATTTCTCACAAAACCTGTCTCTGTTATACTTTGGAACAACTGTTTAGAAACTGATTTTTGACCAAGAGATTCATAAATCTTTCCTGAAATCATGTATCATTCACTATGAGAGCAAAAATTCCGGAACAAATTCCTGAATCATGTAATTTAATGGTGAAATAACAGCAATGCTTCTCTTACAGCCCATGTAGTAAGCAGAGTGACAATTAACAACTCTCTCTACCTAGAATTCAGAATCTTTATTCTGAGTTATTTTCACAATAAACTCATTGTGAAAGCAACTTATACAGATTTCAAGGTGGGAAACTCTGTGTTCCACAAGCTGGAGAGTCGGGGATACAAAATCCGCTCCCAAAGGAGAGAGTGAGCAAGGCTACTCAAACACAATGGAGTTGCGTTCAAAACTTAAAAGGAGGGAGAGATTACGCTTTGGGGCAATTTGGACTCTTTCTGTTCTTGAGATAGAAAGTTATTAAGTTAAAAAATAAAAATGAAGGCTGGGTGCAGTGACTTAACCTACAATCCCAGCACTTTGGGAGGCTGAGGCAAGAGGATTGCCTGAGCCCGGGGATTAGAGACCAGCCTGGGCAACTTGGTGAGACCTTGTCTCTATGATAAATCACAAAAAGTAGCCAGGTGTGGTGGGATGTGTCTGTAGTTCCAGCTACTTGGAAGGCTGAGATGGAAGGATCGCCTAAGCCCAGCAGGTCGAGGTTGCGGTGGCAGTGAACGTGCTACTGCACTCCAGCCTGAGCGACAAGAGTAAGACTCCAACTCAAAAATGTAAAAAAATTTAAAAATAAAAATGAAGAAAAGCAAAGGTGGAGATCTAGACTGTAACTGATAAAAATGATGGCTCATGGTGGCTAGAAGGGAGAATGCTTTCATGAAACAGACTCTAGCTGTTTCTCTAAGGGTGTTCCTCCCCACATCAGTGGTCTCATCAGTGGTCCTGGGGTCCACAGGTTGACCACTGCTGGGGGAGGGGGTGGTGGGTGGTATAGCACTCACGCAGCATGTTTCTGGTGCAGGGGTGTCTTGTCCCGGTGCAGGGGTGTGGTGACCACCACCTTCTGGCTGCATACTGGGGTGGACGTCAGCGAGGGGCTCTCTAGCTCCAGTGTGTCCTGTTTGTTCCAGAAGTTCAGAAACTGCCAGGGAAGAGGGAGGAAACAAGACAAAATGACGACCTACATGTGAATTCCGGAGACCTGAGGGGGCAGGAGGAAAGACCTTAAACTCCTCCTCCTCCAAGTCTGCTCTCCGACACTGTTGGGTACTGGAGAACAAGAACCAGCACAGACAGATAAATGACAGGAACCCACCAGGCAGTTCATGTAGACCTCTGGGCTTTTCATTGTCCCAATCCTAACTTGCCATACCTGCTGTGTGTGGCAGACTAGGCATGGTATGGCCGGAGTCGTTGGGGGTGAAAGTACTCACCAACATAGTTATGAACCAGGAAAGGTAGATTAATTAAAGGAAAGATACGTTGTGAAGGGCACAACAGGCAGGCAGGACCACAGTGAGAGTGTCAACTGTCGGCTGTCTGCTGCAAAGAGGCAGTGGTCTGAGGTTCTTCCCAGTGGAGTCTGGCCCTCTCTTCGGTTAAGGTGAGTTTTAGGATCCCCAACATGTATTTGGGTTCCTGCCATGCAAATGAGGTAGTTCTGATTGGTTGATGTTTGCCTTTGACTGTAAGCCATTCTTGAGCCAGCTGGAGGATATTTAGCCTTACAATACTTGTGATCTCATTCTGAGATTTCCTTCCTCAAAACTATTTATACAATTTACCCAGTTGATGCTTGCCTGATGGGGCCTCAAGCTCCTCCACAATACCGACCCTAGTGTGCTCATGACAGGGTAACTGAGGCAAAGAGAGAGGACTGCAGGACTGCAGCTCCTTTTCAAAAGAAATAAAACTAGGCCAAACACAGTGGCTCACATTGTCATCCAAGCACTGTGGGAGGCCGAGAAGTTTAAGACCAGCCTGGACAACATAGTGAGACATTTTTTTTTTAAATTAAAAAAAAGAAAAGAAAAAAAGGCTGGGCGGTGCATGACTGTAGTCCCAGCTACTCAGGAGGCTAGGTTAGAAGGACCACCTGAGCCCAGGTTGAGGCTGTGGTGAGTCATAATATGCCATTGCACTCCAGTCTGGGTGACAGAGTAAGACTCTAATTCAAAAAAGTAAAAAAATACAACTACCCTATCTATTTATCTACCTAACTATCTATCTATCTATGATGGGAAGACTTGCTATGTGCCCAGGCTGACCATGATTTCCTGGGCTCAAGCGATTCTCCTGCATCAGCCTCCTATAAACAGCTGAAACTACAAATGTAGACCATCATGCCCAGCTAAAACTAACTCTGGGTTGTCTTCTGAAGGCACGGGGCATGATGGTAAAAGGGAAGCTACTATTGAGAGCACCTTCTCATGCAGTGCTAACAACTTTATATAAATGATTTCACTCATTTTTTGCAAATCCTGAAACAGGCACTGTTACTTTCTTACTTTTACAGATAAGAAAACCAAGAATTAGGTTCTTGAGTCTAGAGGAAAGACTCAAGTCCAGATCTCAGCAAGCACCCATTTTCTGAAGTACCATCCTCTCCTCCCTCCCTGGCCTGAAGGTGCTGTTACCAAACCCTGCCCAACTGCAACCCTCAGGCCACCATACCCCATCGTCCTGGGCTGCTGTTTGGACCGCTCAGAGTTCTGCTATCTTCCCTCTCCAGCCAGCAGCCCTCATTCAAAGCATGTTACTGTCTGAACTGTGTAACTGTGTCCCTCTCAAATTCATGTGTGGAAGTCCTAATTCCCAGGAACCTTGGAACGGGGATGTATTTGGAGACAAGGCTTTTAAAGAGGTAATTAAGTTAAAATGAAGTCATTAGGTTGACCCCTAATCCAATAACTGGCATCATTATAAGAGGTTTTAAAAGAGATAGGCCAATTTGCCTATAATTCCAGCAATTTGGGAGGCCGAGGCAAGTGGACTGCCTGAGCCCACAGGTTCGAGATCAGCCTGGGCAACTTGGAGAGACCTCATCTCTACAATAAATCAAAAATTAGCCGGGCGTAGTAGCGCACACCTGTAGTTCCAGCTACTTGGAAGGCTGAGGTGGAAGGATCACCTGAGCCAGGCTCGGTGGCTCAGTCTGTAATCCTGCGGCTTTGGGAGGCTGAGGTGAGTGGACTGCCTGAGCCCGCAGGTTCGAGACCCCATCTCTACAATAAATCAAAAAAATTAGCCAGGTGTGGTAGTGCACGCCTGTAGCTCCTGCTACTTGGAAGGCTGAGGCGGAAGGATTGTCGGAGCCCAGCAGGTTGGGGATGTGGTAGCCAGGAGCGGCCACTGCACTCCAGTCTGGGTGACAGAGTGAGACTCCAACTCAAAAAAAAAAAAAAGAAGGATCACCTGAGCCCAACAGGTTAAGGCTGCAGTGGAGGCCACGGGCATGCCACTGCACTTCAGCCTGGGCGATAGAGTGAGACTCTGACTAAAAAAAAAGGAGATAACAGCTGGGCTAGTGGCTCACACCTGTAATACTAGCACTTTGGGAGCCTGAGATGGGAGGATTGCTTGAGCTCAGGAGTTTGAGACCAGCCTAGGCAAAATAATGAGACCTTGTTTCTACAAAAAATCCAAAAGTTATCTGGGCATTGTGGTGCATGCCTATAATCCCAGCCTACTTGGGAGACTGAGGAAGAAGGATCACCTGAGTCCAGGAGGTTGAGGCTAAGATGAGCCATGACCGTGTCACTGCACTCTGACCTGAGCGACAGAGATTCCAACTCAAAAAAAAGAAGGTAACAGATCAGGACACAGACAGATAACAAAGAACCACATGAAGACAGAAGGAGAGGCAAGTCAAGAAGAGGGACCTCAGAAGAAACCAAGGCTGCTCCATTTCTGTTGCCTAAGCCACCCAGCCTGTGGTACTTTGTCACAGAGACCTGAGCAAATTGATACAGACCTCTCTCGAAACACCACTGGCCACGATGTGATGGTGTTTCAAGAACTGTGATGACAGGGTGGCCTCCTACTCTGTGCCACCACTAGGCCTCACTCCCTCCCACAGCCTTCCAGGAGGAGCAGACCCAGTGAGACCGGCAACCTGAAGTCTCCACTGCCCCCGCCATCACTTCAGGTTCTGGACTTCACACCAACACTCTGCCCTCCCTGTCTGTGCCGCTGTTCCAGGTGATTGAGAAGACCCAGTGCAGACACCTCTTCAGGAAGCCCAAGTGCCTCCCCAATCCCTAGGGGAGGGAGACAGGATGCCCCTGGAGGCCGCACACAGAAGGTGGAAGCTCTCAGTGACTTCACCACTTTGATCACCACAGCACTTCCACACTCCATTCTGGTGAATTGAAGACAAGCCTGTCCCAGTCCTGGCCACGTCTTCAAGGGCAGGGCAGTATCACCTTTATCTCTGCTCCCCCAGTGCTGATTGATCTACTATGAAGTAGGTGTTCAAAAATGAATTTTTGGCTGGGCGCAGTGGCTCAAGCCTGTAATTCCTACACTTTGGGAGGCTAAGGTAAGAGGATTCCCTGAGTCCAGAGGTTAAAGACCAGCCTGGGCAAAATGGTTAGACCTTGTCTCTACAATAAATTAAAAAAAAAAAAAATAGCTGGGCGTGGTGGCACACGCCTGTAGTTCCAGCTATCTGGAAGACTGAGGTGGAAGGATTGCCTGAGCCTAGCAAGTTGAGGATGTGGTGGCCGTGAGCGTGCCACTGCACTCCAGTCTGGGCAAGAGTGAGACTTTGACTCAGGAAAAAAAAAAAAAGGACTGTTAAGCAAGCAACATGCCAAGCCCTTCCTGTCACTGCCCAAGAAAGAAAACTAGCTACTTTTATGTTTCTTAGTCTCACTATGTTACTCAAGGTCTAACTCATGGGCTCAAGTGAACTCTCCTGCCTCAGTCTCTCAAGTAGCTTGAACTGTAGGCATGAGCCATCACTTCCAGCTAATACTGGCTCTGAACTGACTTATAAAAGCACAGGGGTCCAGGCTCGGTGGCTCAGCCTGTAATCCCAGCACTTTGGGAGGCCGAGACGAGTAGATTGTCTGGGCCTGAGGGTTTGAGACTAGCCCAGGCAATTTGGCGAGACTTCATCTCTACAATCAATAAAAAATTAGCCAGGCATGGTAGTACGCGCCTGTAGTTCCAGCTACTTGGAATGCTGAGGTGGAAGATCACCAGAGCCCGGCAGGTTGACATTGGGGTGGTCGTTGAGTGTGCTACTGCACTCCAGCCTGGGTGACAGAGTGAGACTCCAACTCCAAAAAGACAAAAAAGCACAGGGCATGGTGATGGTATCAAGTTATCACCTATTTGCTCAGCTCAAGCAATTCCTCCTCTTCATGGGAAGTCTTCCTAGACCATGCCACGCCCCACTCCACCAGAGTAGATGAATGTGTAGCACCATAAGCCATTTAACACATTTTTGGGGTCTTCTTTAATTAACTAGTCTTCCCACCCGAGCATAAGCTCCATGAGGAGGGGCCAGGTCTGATTTTGCTCATACTTGTGTCGCCAGCACTGAGCACAGGGTACCTGTAAACCAAACCCAGAAAGCTGCCAGAGTGGAATCTACCCACCTGGGAAGGCGAGAAGGGCAGGGTCTTGACAGGTGTGCTCTTGGGGGTGAGGCTGTTGCACGAGTCCAGGAAGGACAGACTGGAGCTGTTCTCTGTCACAGGAGACAAAGCCACGCGCCTCTTCTTTTGCCGCTTGAGCACCGAGGGCGGTGTGCCGATGCCGGAACACCCAACCTCAGTGCTCGGGGAGATGGGGATCAGCTCGCCCCGGCTGCTCCGGCTCAGGTCTGAGATGGTGTGGCCATCCAGGCGGTACTCGGTCACGGTGGGCACCGGGGCGGCGGGCTGACGGGGTGGCAGAGCCTGCTGCTGATGTGATGTTTGGGGCTGCACGGGGCTGCTGCTGACACTGCCCTCCGCAGACGGTTCCTCAGGGAGGTCAAATTTACTCAGGTCACACCAAGCATCAGGGTCCTACCCAGAAAGGGAGGAGAGGAAGAACTTTCATGACTCTGCTTTCAACACAAGAGGACGTATTCCTTAAAGGAAAAGGTAGAAGTCAAGTATGAGCCCAAGACCAATCACTAAAATTCCCTACATTTCCTCAGAGTTTTCTGTGCCTGTGTGTTCATGTTTTCAGAGCGTTTTTTCTACATCACAATATAGAGCAGTGAATGGGATGTATGCCCATCATGGAGGCTTCCTTGGGGCACTTCACAAAAGCTACTTGCAATCCCCACAACAGTCCTGTGAAGGAAGCATTACTTTCCCCACTTTCACACCAAGGAAGCTGGGCCCCAGGGGGTGCAATCTGCCTGAAGTCACTAAATATCTAAGAACAAACTAACCATCACTCCAGGTCTCCCCACTTTACCCAGCACATGAGCTAAAAGCCTTCTGGAGACAGAGGGGTCCACACTTTGTCCATGAGTAGACCCAGACCCTAGTGGAGATTTCTGGTCCTGGGACCTGCACGAACCTGAGTAGTTCACTCCTCAGGGAGAAGGCCAGCTTGGGGCAAGGCTGAACGCAGGTCCATACCCCAACCTCAAGGAGGCCCCAGCACTGATGGTATCTGATAGGCCAGAAGCACATCTGACAAAGATCGCCTGGGGTGGACGCTGCAAGACTGCCAGCAGAATTTCTGCAAAGGCTATAATTCCCCCAACGGACACTGAAGGCCACCATGGAAAGAGCCTGAGCTCTGAGCTGGACAGCAGAGTCTGCATGGTATAGAGTGGGTTTTAGGAGATGACAGGCAGGAGGCCTGGTAACTGGGGTTACCAGGCAGTCACCAACTGTGAGAGACACTGGACAAGTCTCCTAACCTCTGAACTTGGGATAACTCACTGGTGATAAGCCCACCATTGACTTAACGGGTTGTTAACAGACTAAGAGCACATACGCTAGGGAGCAGGTAATAGGCCTGGTACATGGCAGGCACTCAAATGTTACATACTGTAATTACTAATTAAGAATTGGGCCTGGCATACAGTAGGGGCTCTCTAGACGTGAGCTGTATTGGTGCAGTGACTCACATCTGTATCCCAGCACTTCAGGAGGCAGAGGCGAGAGGATTGCCTAAATTCACGGGTTTGAGACTAGCTTGGGCAACATGATGAGACCTCATCTGTACAATAAATCAAAAAATTGGCTGGCCGTGGTGGCATGTGCCTATAATTCCAGCTACTTGGAAGGCAGAGACAGAAGGATCACCAGAACCCAGTAGGTCAAGACTGTGGTGGCCGTGAGTATGTCACTGCACTCCAGCCTGGGTGACAGAGTGAGATTCCAATTAAAAAAAAAAGTGAGCTATATCTGTCAAGTGGAATGAAATACAGAACAATCTGAGGATGAAGGGAGATAAACGCTGTTGTGTGCCAACGGCGCCAGGCATAGAGAGGCCAGCTCTCATCTCCACGCTCTCCTCAGGACCCAGAGTGGGGATGGCACACAGGGGCAGAGGGGAAATGGTGAAAATCGATGAACACACCCGATCCACATCTAAAGTTGCTCTGAAATTCCTTGTAGGTGGAGTGGGGACCACAGACAGACCCTGCACTTGGTGCCAGATGCTAGGGCCAAAAGGTGAGACCCAGAAAGAGGACCTGAGCAGGTCCCCTCTGGAGATGACGTTATCCAACCCCTCACCAGGTGACGGTGAGAGCACAGCATCAAAACTGACACCATTAAGCCTACTCGCTGTGCAACCTTGGGTACATGACTTGACCTCTCTGAGCCTCAGTCTCATCCACAGAACATAGAAAGGACACTTCTCACAGGATACCATGCAGACTGTACACTAAACTGAGAGCCTGGCATTTAGATGTTCAAGGGGTGGGGAGGCTCAAGTGGGAAGTTGCATGTGGGTACCTCACACAGAACTCTTTACCCCATTACCAAGCCTCCTGCCGATCACTTCCTAAAACCCACTCTATGTAGTGCAGGGTAAGGGCTGGCTGATGTAGCTAGGTGCTGGGGGTGTCAGAGCACGACACTCTCTCCAGAGAGCCACAGCCAGTACAGTAGCCACAGCAACCAGAACCACTCACCCCTCCAGACACAGTGCCAGACCCCAGAACTTCCTGGGGCCCCTCCAGGGAGATTCCATCAGGTGTGGTGTCACCAACACCATGCCCTCCCCTCAACCTAGAGGACTCTGTGCAAATGCACCTCCTCTGGGCAGCCCTCCTGCCCCACCCTGTGCTATATAGAAGGGCCAGAGGCTGCTCCGCATATTCCTGCAGTTCACACTAGGAGATCCCTGAGGGTGGGGACTACATGATGGCTGCCTTGGTGTGTCCCTTTAACAGCATGATGGAGTGAGCAGAGGGACGGGGCCCGTGAAAGAGGGACTCCCTGATGGCTGCTCTGTGCCCACTGTGAAGTGCTGTGCCCAACATACCGACTCAATCAAATCCAGGGCTTCAGAGAGGCCAGAGCCCACAGCTGGGATGAGGAGGTTTGCTGCCTCCACCACCCACTTGTAGGGCAAGCTTATCTCTGGCGGAGAACCCTCCTGGTCCTCACGCTTTGGGAACTCCTCCAAGGGCTCTGGTGTCCATGCTCCATCCAGCTCCGCGGAGACAGGCACCTGCTCCCTCGAAGTGGAGGCTGCCATCGCCTCCTCCTCACTGCTTTCCTCCTCCTTCACAGCAGCAGACACGGGGGGCCAGCTGGTTACAAGACTTCCCTGATGACACAAGGGCACCCCATTCAGATTTTTTGTTATGAGATACAGACTACAGAGTAGTTTCCAGTTAAAACATATAAAGTGGTGGGTGCAGTGACTCATGTCTGTAATCCTAGGCGGAGGCGAGAGGATTACCTGAGCTCAGGGGTTCAAGACCAGCCTGAGCAACATGGCAAGATCTAGTCTCCACAATAAATAAAAAAAAAAAATCAGCCAGGTGGCACATGCCTATGGTTCCAGCTACTTGGAAGGCTGAGGCAGAAGAATCACCTGAGCCCAGCAGGTCAAGGCTACGGTGGTTGTGAGTGTGTCACTGCACACCAGCCTGGGTGACAGAGTTAGAATCCTACTCAAAAAAAACAAAAAGCAAGCCAGGTTCGGTGGCTCAGCCTGTAATCCCGCGCCTTTGGGAGGCTGAGATGAGTGGACTGCCTGAGCCCACGGGTTCAGTCTGGGCAGCGAGACCTCACCTCTACAATAAATCAAAAAAATCAGCCAGGCGTGGTAGCACATGCCTATAATTCCGGCTACTTGGAAGGCTGAGGCGGAAGGATCGCCAGAGCCCAGCAGGTCGAGGCTGCGGTGGCCGGGAGCAGCCACTGCACTCCAGTCTGGGTGACAGAGTGAGACTCCAACTCAAAAAAAAAAAAAAAAAAAAATCAGCCGGGCGTGGTGGCGCATTGCCTGTGGTTCCAGCTACTTGGACGGCTGAGACAGAAGGATCACCTGAACCCAGCAGGTCAAGGCTGCGGTGGTTCTGAGTGTATCACTGCACACCAGCCTGGGTGATAGAGTTAGAATCCTACTCAAAAAAAACAAAAACCAAGCCGGGTTCGGTGGCTCAGCCTGTAATCCCATGCCTTTGGGAAGCTAAGGTGAGTGGACTGCCTGAGCCCATGGGTTCGAGACCCGCATGGGCAGGCGAGACCTCATCTCTACAATAAATTTTTAAAAAAATTAGCTGGGCGTGGTAGCGCGCGCCTGTAGTTCCAGCTACTTGGAAGGCTGAGGCAGAAGGATCACCAGAGCCCAGCAGGTCGAGGCTGCGGTGGCCGGGAGCAGCCACTGCACTCCAGTCTGGGCGAGAGAGTGAGACTCCAACTCAAAAAAACCCAAAAAAACAAAAGACAAAAACCAAACAAACAAACATACCACATAACCCGAGGCTAAGCACAGTAGCCCCAAATCCCAACACTTTTGGAGTCCAAAACAGGAGGACCACTTGAACCCAGAAGTTTAAGACCAGGCAAGGCAAAATAGTAAGATCTCATATCTACAGAGAAATTAGCAAGGCATGGTGGCACGAGCCTGTAGTCCCAGTTACTCAGGAAGATGAGGCAGAAGGATCACCTGAGTCCGGGAGATTTGAGGCTGCAGCAAGCCATGAACATGCCACTGCACTGCACCCTGGGTGACAAAGTGAGACCTCGACTCAGAAACAATAAAAACGCCAGGCCCAGTGGCTCAAGTCTATAATCCTAATACTCTGGGAGGCCAAGACGAGAGAATTGCCTAAGTCCAGGGGTTCAAGACCAGCCTAGGTAACTTAGTAAGACCTCATCTCTACAATAAATCAAAAAATTACCAGGCATGGCAGCGCGCACCTATAGTTCCAGCTATTTGAAGGCTGAGGCAGAAGCATCGCTTAAGCAAGCAGCTCGAGGCTGCAGTGGCTGTGAGCATGCCACTGTACTCCAGTGACAGAATGAGACGCTGCCTCAAACACAAACAAAAAAGCCCCACAGAAACACAATCTGACTTTAATAATATAAAACTCAAGGCCGGCTGGGCTTGGTAGCCTGTAGTCCCAGCACTATGGGAGGCTGAAGCGAGTGGATTGCCTGAGTCCACGGGTTCAAAATCAGCCCTGAAAATTTGGCAAGACTTCATCTCTACAATAAATTTTTAAAAAATCAAGCCTGGCTTGGTGGCTCAGCCTGTAATCCCAGCGCTTTGGGAGGCTGAGGTGAGAGAATTGCCTGAGCTTGCAGGTTCAAGACGCGCCTGGGCAAGTTGGTGAGACCTCATCTCTACAATAAATCAAAAAATTAGTTCAGCGTGGTAGCACTCGCCTGTAGTTGCAGCTACTTGGAAGGCCGAGGCAGAAGTATCGCTGAAGCCCAGCAGGTCGAGGCTGCAGTGGCCGGGAACGTGCCACTGCACTCCAGTCTGGGTGAGAGTGAGACCCCAACTCAAAAATAAAAAATAAAAAAATATAGATAAAAAAATCAGCCGGGCGTAACAGCGCACGCCTGTAGTTCTGGCTACTTGGAAGCCTGAGCCTGAAGGATTTTCGGAGTTCAGCTGGTCAACACTGGGGTGGCTGTGAGTGTGCCACTGCACTCCAGTCTGGGTGAAGGAGTGAGACTCCAACTCAAATAAATAAATAAATAAAACTCAAGGCCATTGCCTCACCAGACTCTGATGTGGCCATCTGCTCTCTGATCTATTGCTCTTGCCGTGTTTCCTGGTTTTGACCCCCTTCCTTACCTTGGGGAGGCTAATCGCTTCTCTCTAATTTACTTTTTAAATAAACTATATTTTCTAATCTGAAGAACAAACTCAAAATGATGAACACAAATTGAGAGACAATTCTATAAAATAGTCATACCACACACTTCAAAAATATCAGTGTCTGGAGACTAAGAAAAACTGACAAAAGAGGACAATTAAATGACATGCCTGGTACTAGACCAGATCATGGGCAAGAAAAGAATGAAAAACAGACTGTAGGTAAGACAGACTGAATCAAAGTTAAATGCCCTGAATTGGACATAACCATACCGAGGCTATGTAATTAAATGGCCTTGTTCTTGGGAAACACACAGTGAAGAATTAAGGAGTAAAGAGGCACACGGGACGAGGAGGGTGCCCAAAAACTGGAATTATCTTTTAGAGGGCAGGCCCCTTGTAGCACACACAGGCTTTCCCCACTAGGTTAGTATTCTAGGAGCCCATCAGCATCAGTGTGCCAGCTAGGCACTGTAAGAGATTGCATTTGGCTTCATTGATTTTTTTTTTTAATTCTTTCACTGTGTTTGCCCATTTCATTACAGGTGATTTAAAAGCATACCTGCTCACACTGCACTGAGTGTTCAGCAGTTTTTGACCAAAAAGCATGACCCCCATACCCCAACCTCCCTATTCACCCAATCTTGCCCAGAGCGACTCTTTTTGGTTTCCTGGATCAAAAGTCTTTTGTTGATGAGGAAGAAGTGAGACCAAAAAAAAGGACAGAAGCACTAAAAGGCATCAAAATTGACAAGTTCAAGCCAGGTGCAGTAGCACACGTCTGTAATCTCAGCACTTTGGGAGGCAGAGGCGAGAAGATTGCCTGAGTCCATGGGCAACTTGGCAAGACCTCATCTCTACAATAAATTGAAAAATTGGCTGGGTGTCGTGTTGTGCACCTGTGGTTAATTAAAGCTACTTGGAAAGCTGAGGAAGAAGGATCACCAGAGCCCAGTAAGTTAAAGCTGTGAGCTGTGGTGGTCATGAGTATGCCACTGCACTTCAGCCTGGGCAACCAACTAAGACTCCTACTGAAAAAAAAAAGCAGGTCCCAGTGGCTCGCACCTATAATCCCAGCACTTTGGGAGGCCAAGGTGAGAGGATTGCCTGAGTTCATGGGTTTCAGACCAGCTTGGGCAACTTGGTGAGACCTCATCTCTACAATAAATCGAAAAATTAGCAAGGCGTGGTGGTGCACCCCTGTAGTTCCAGCTACTTGGAAGGCAGTGATGGAAGGATCGCCTGAGCCCAGCAGGACGAGACCACGGTGGCCATGAGCATGCCACTGCACTCCAGCCTGGGCGACAGAGTGAGACTCCAACTTAAAACAAAAACAAGCCAGGCTCGGTGGCTCAGCCTGTAATCCCGCGCCTTTGGGAGGCTGAGGTGAGTGGATTGCCTGAGCCCGCGGGTTCGAGACCCGCCTGGGCAACTTGGCGAGACCTCATCTCTACAATAAAATCAAAAAAATTAGCCGGGCGTGGTAGCGCATGCCTGTGGTTCCAGCTACTTGGAAGGCTGAGGCGGAAGGATCACTGGAGCCCAGCAGGTCGAGGCTGTGGTGGCCAGGAGCGGCCACTGCACTCCAGCCTGGGCGACAAAGTGAGACTCCCACTCAAAAAACCAAAAACAAAAACAAACAAAAAATGACAAGTTTAAAAACTGTTTTGAGCAGTGGAAAAAGTGTTGTGATAGGTATATTGCAACAAATGGATAGTACTCTGAAGGTGACAAATCAGGGGTTTTTTTGGGTCCCCTCACATGTGTAACTGACTCTGAAATGTCTCAGATGAAAGAAAGTACTATAGAAAGGAAATAAAGCAACTTTGGAAAAATGTTAAAAATGAATGAGTACCACAAAAAGTATATGAGAGTTCTCTGTACTTTTTTCTTTTTGAATCAGGGTCTCTCTCACCCAGGCTGGACTGTGGTGGCATGATCACAATAATAACAGCTCACAGCAGCCTTGACCTCCTGGGCTCAGGCAATCCTTCCATCTGAGCATCCGAGTAGCTGGGACTACAGATGTGCTTCACCACAATCAGTTAATTTTTTGATTTTTTTTTTTTTTTGTAGAGACAAGGTTTCATTATATTGCCGAGGTTGGTCTCAAACTACTGTGCTCAAACAATCCATCCATCTTGGCCTCCCAAAGTGCTGGGATTTTTTTATTTTTTAGAGTCAGAGTCTCACTCTTGTCGCCAAGGCTGGAGTGCAATGACACGCTCACGGCCACCATAGCCTCAACCTGCTGGGCTCAGGCATTCCTTCTGCCCCAGTCTTCCAAGTAGCTAGAACCACAGGCATGTGCCGCCACACCCAGCTAACTTTTTATTTTATTGTAAAGACAAGGTCTCGCCATGTTGCTCAGGCTGGTCTCGAACCCCCAAGCTCAGGTAATCCTCTTGTCTCTGCCTCCCAAAATGCTGGGACCATAGGCATGAGCTACTGCACCCACCCTTCTGCACTATTCTTGCAGTGTTTCTGAATGCCTAATATTCCAAAATGAAGGTGTGAAAAATAAATGGATATACTACTCGTGACAGAAAAAAAGAAACTAAGGAAAATCCTTTGCAGCAATAGCTCTCCTGGCAGCATCCCTAGAAACAAGTATGGCATGTGAACCTTACAGGCCCGGGGCAGCCTTGAAAACAGCACATATGGCCGGGCTCGGTGTCTCAGCTCATAATCCAAGCACTTTGAGAGGCTGAGGCGAGTGTATTGCCTGAGACCACAGGTTTGAGACGAGCCTGGGTAATTTGGCAAGACATCATCTCTACAATAAAAATTTTTTAACGGGTTCGAGACCTACCTGGGCAACTTGGCAAGACCTCATCTCTACAATAAATCAAAAATTAGCCGGGCGTGGTAGCGCGCGCCTGTAGTTCCAGCTACTTGGAAGGCTGAGGCGGAAGGATCGCCGGAGCCCAGCAGGTCGAGGCTGCGGTGGCTGGGAGTGGCCACTGCACTCCAGTATGGGCGACAGAGTGAGACTCCAACTCAAAAAAAAAAAGAAAAAATTTTTTTTAAAGCCAGGTGTGATAGCTCATGCCTATAGTTCTGGCTTCTTGAAAGGCTGAGGCAGAAGGATTGCCGGAGCCCAGCAGTTCATCACTAGGGTTGCTGTGAGCCTCCCTAGGCAACCCAGTGGGAATCCAACTCAGGAAAAAAAAAAGAAAGAAAAAAAAACAGCACATATGATTAACAGAGGCCACGTGGACAGCAAGGAGCAAGACTGCCTGTTAAAGGAGGTACAATGAGGTCAGGAAGAGTGCACAGACTCTGGATTCAGACAGGGCTTTGCCTTTTATCAGCTCATCTTGGGCAAGCTGTATGACCTCTGGGTTTTCATTTCCTGGCCTCTAGAATGAGGACACTAAGGTTTACTATGCAGGGATGTTATGCAGATCAGCAAAAGTATATACAGCATCCAACCCCAACCTAAATGGTAACTATTACTGCTATAGTTGTCAAGTGAACAGAATGAAATTGGTTTGTGACTCAAGCAAAAAAGAAAAGGAGATAAGATGAACAGGTTTGATTAAAAACTTAAAATTGCTATAATGAAGGATGGAGGAATGCTATAAACACTATTTAAAAGTTATCAGCCAAGCACCGTGGCTCACAACTGTAATCCCAGCGCTTTGGGGGGCTAAGACAGGAGGATCACTTGCACCAGGTGTTTGAGACCAGCCTGGCAAACATAGCAAGAACTTGTCTTAACAAAAAATGTAATTTAGTGAGGTATGGTGGTACACATCTGTAGTCCCAGCTACTTAGGAGGCTGAGGCAGGAGGATCACTTGAGCCCAGGAGTTTGAGGACAGCCCGGGCAACATAGTGAGACCTTTTCTTTACAAAAATAAAAATAGCTGGGCTTGGTGGCTCAGCCTGTAATCCTGCACTTTGAGAGGCCGAGGTGAGTGGATTGCCTGAGCCCACGAGACCCGCCTAGGCATCTTGGCGAGACCTCATCTCTACAATAAATCAAAAATTAGGATCGCCAGAGCCCAGCAGGTCGAGGCTGCGGAGGCCGAGAGCGACCACTGCACTCCAGTCTGGGCGACAGAGTGAGACTTCAACTCAAAAAAAATAAAAATAAAATAATTAGCCAGATGTAGTGGTATGCACATGCTATCCTAGCTACTCAGGACGCTGAGGTGGGAGGATTGCCTAAGCCCAGGAGGTCAAGGATATGGCAACTGTGACTGTGCCAATGCACTCCAGCCTAGGCAACAGAGTGAGACTCCAACTCAAAAAAAAAAAAAAAAGGTTCTTTCTGGAAGTTGAAATGAACAGTTCAACCTTCTGCACTGTTCAGCTCTACCCAGTTAGTTACTTTTGACGATGGTCATGTATTAGTGCTGAAGCACAGGAAACAAATCTATAATGGCAACTGATCAGTGAGTGGGGAACACTGGGGGTGGTCCCACACACACATTACCAGGCAAAATTTTTCTAGCAGGCAGTCTAACAAAAAATATTATGAGGTTTAGTTTATTTTTTTTTTTTTTGAGTTGGAGTCTCACTCTGTCGAGCCTTGACCTGCTGGGCTTGGGCGATCCTTCCACCTCAGCCTTCCCAGCCTTCCGAGTAGCCGGAATTACAGGCGCGCGCTACCACGCCCGGCTAATTTTTTGATTTTATTGTAAAGATGAGGTCTCGCCTGCCCAGGCGAGTCTCGAACCCGTGGGTTCAGGCAATCCACTCACCTCAGCCTCCCAAAAGCGCGGGATTACAGGCTGAGCCACAGAGCCCGGCTTAGTTTAATTTGTTTTTTTTGTTTTTTTTTTGAGTTGGAGTCTCACTCTGTCGCCTAGACTGGAGTGCAGTGGCCGCTCCTGGCCACCGCAGGCTTGACCTGCTGGGCTCCTCTCCAGCGATCCTTCCGCCTCAGCCTTCCAAGTAGCCGGAATTACAGGCATGCGCTACCACGCCCGGCTGATTTTTTGATTTATTATAGAGATGAGGTCTCGCTGCCCAGGCGGGTCTCGAACCCACGGGCTCAGGCAATCCGCTCACCTCAGCCTCCCAAAGGCGCGGGATTACAGGCTGAGCCACCGAGTCTGGCTCGGCTTAGTTTAATTTTTAATATGTTTGTCCACTTCTAGGAATTTCTCAAGAAATAACTGAACAAAAGGGCAGCAATTTGGACAAGGACAATCCTTAAAGTTTTGTCTCTAATTACAAAAAATTGGAAACCACCTTTTTCTTCATCAGTAAGGAACTAGTTGAATAAATGACACATCAGAAAGACGATGCCGGAGAGAAATGGGTAAGGCTGAAAGCAACACATGGACCCAACTCCCTGTATGCAGGGTCAGGGTCAGGGTCTCGGGCCCGGCCTAGCACAGTCAGTGCTCCAGACACTCTGACAAAGCATCAAGGAATGAAAGCCAAGTCAACAAATTGACTTTCAGCAAAGCAGGATTTTCAGAGACGGGAGAAAGACCCGTATACTCTGCTGGGTGCTGAAAGACTTCTCCGGGTCTGCTGACGCCTACAGTTTCTCTTTGTGGAACAGACGCCTATTCTTCAATCAGAAATAAAAGGCTGAAAGCACATTATTTACATGTACTAAGAAATTGTCAGAAGACTACTCTGGCTAAGGGACATGATGAAAGTCTGAACTAGAGGAATAAGCTTTACTTTTCATTTCAGAACTTTCTCTACTGTTTGAATGTTACCCCGTAAGTGTGTGTTTTGTTTTGTTTCTTCTTTGAGTTGGAGTCTCAATGTCTCCCAGGCTGGACTGCAGTGGCCGCTCACAGTCACTGCAGCCTCGATCTGCTGGGTTCAGGTGATCCTACCACTTCAGCCTTCCAAGTAGCTGGAACTATAGGTGTGGGCCACCACATCTGGTTGATTTTTAAAATTTTTTTTATTATTTATTGTAGAGACGAGATCTTGCCATGTTTCCCAGGTTGCTCTCGAAAGCGTGGGCTCAGCAAATCATCTCACCTCTGCCTCCCAAAGTGCTGGAATTACAGGTATCAGCCACGATGCCCAGCGTATAAGTGTGCTATTGTTAGGGAATCAAGAGATGGCCTCTAAAGTTGAAAAAAATAAAAATAAAAAAATCAAGAAATGGAGCCAAAACCATTACATAACACTCCAACAGGGAATTATAAAAGAATTGTACCTGTCAACAAATTACCACTAGTCAGTAAGAAAAGGGAATAAGGCAACAGAGTGTGATTTCAACTCAAAAAAAAAGGGGGGAATAGAGAATATGAATATATATATATATATTTATTTATTTATTTATTTTTTGAGTTGGAAAAAAAAAATCTCACTCTGTCGCCCAGACTGGAGTGCAGTGGCCGCTCCCGGCCACCGCAGCCCCGACCTGCTGGGCTCCAGCGATCCTTCCGCCTCAGCCTTCCGAGTAGCCGGAAATACGGGCACGTGCTACCATGCCAGGCTGAGTTTTTGATTTATTGTGGAGATGAGGTCTTCCCAAGTTGCCCAGGCGGGTCTTGAACCCATGGGCTCAGGCAATCCACTCACCTCAGCCTCCCAAGGCACGGGATTACAGGCTGAGCCACCAAGCCCGGCCAAGAATATATTTTTTTAATTACTAAGATGATAATGACTATCGAAAAGATTGAAAATCAATGTGAAACCTAGCATCGGCAAATCTTAGTACTTTGTTATATTTGCTTCAAATTTCTATTTTTTAATTTTTTTTTTTTTTTTTTTGAGTTGGAGTGTCATTCTGTTGCCCTGGCTAGAGTGCGGTGGCACGCTCCCAGCCATAGCAATCTTCACCTGCTGGGGTCAGACAATCCTTCCACTTCTGCCTTCCAAGTACCTGGAACCACAGGCACATGCCACCACGCCCGGCTAATTTTTTGATTTGTTGTAGAAACAAGGTCTCGCCAAGTTGCCCAGGCTGGTCTCAAATCCCTGTACTCAGGCAATCCTCTTGCCTCAGCCTTCCAAAGTACTGGGATTACGGGCTTGAGTCACAATGCCCAGCCAACTACTTCTCAATTTTATATATTAGCTTGCTCTCTTATCCTTCACGTGTGGGCAGACAAGTGCCAGTTGTGTGCAGAAGTCACAAGGAAAGGCTCCAGAAACACATGGTCCAGTTTTAGACTCTGGCAGAAATCAATGAAAAGCTGCAGACAAGGTGCTCAATGAGATGGTGGTGGATCAGTGTGAAATCAGACCAAACCATTCGAATCGTGCCCAAAGGATGAGCTGCCCTGACAGCTGTCTCACCTGGCATTCCGTAGACTGGGCACTCTGGTGGCCGTCCTTGTCCTCAAGTTCCAGCAGCAAATACACGGGAGGCTTGCAGTCTTTGGACTCGCTCAGGAAGCCTCCCGTGTCCACCTTCCTCTTGATAGTAGAGTTCCAGTGATTCTTCACAGCATTGTCTGTCCTGCAAGGGAAAGAGTTGGGCCTTTGAACCCCAGCTCTGAGGGCAGTGTGCCACCAGGTACATCATTCACCCCACCTGAGCTGAGTTTCACCAGATGAGCTCTAAAGTTTCTGTCAGCTCTAAGATGAAGTCTCACATGCTTCTGGCCCTTTTTGATTTACAGAGTATTTTCACACGGCTCAGTGATATATATCATTCAGGCTAAGGCAAAAATTATAAAACCGAAGTTGGGTGTTTGGAACTCTCATCTCCTTCCCTGCCCACTCTGCATCTATAGAGACCTAAGCAAACCACTGGTTGCTGACTCCAGTCTGAGTCTCACATTTACCTTGAACACAAGCCCTGTTTACTTCCCAGAGAGAATAAGTGACCAGGGAGTAGAGGGTCTGCTATTGTTCACCGCTCTGAGTCTCAGCATCTTTATCTGGAAAATCAGAAGACTACTTCATACTCCACCACTTACTGAAGATGCAATGAGGAGACACATATACCGTGATATACTAGTACAAAGCAGAGATAAGTTTAGCAAAAGTGAGGTAAATAGTAATTTAGAGGGGTATAGAAGGACAGGGCCACACAATGCTATAAAACCATATTGTCAGGTACGGAAGCTCACACCTATAATCCCAGCACTTTGAGAGGTAGAAACGGGAGGATTGCCTGAGCTCAGGAGTTCAAGACCACCCTGGGCACAATGGTGAGACCTATCTCAACAATAATCAAAAAATTTAGGTCGGGCTCAGTGGCTTAGCCTGTAATCCCGTGCTTTGGGAGGCCAAGGTGAGTGAATTGCCTGAGCCCACGGGTTCAAGACCCGCCCGGGCAACTTGACGAGACCTCATCTCTACAATAAATCAAAAATTAGCCAGGCGTGGTAGCACACGTCTATAGTTCCAGCTACTTGGAAGGCTGAGGCGGAAGGATCACCAGAGTCCAGCAGGTCGAGGCTGGGGTGGCCGGGAGCAGCCAGTGCACTCCAGTCTGGGCGACAGAGTGAGACTCCAACTCAAAAAAAAAAAAAAAAATTACTGGGCATGGTGGCGCACACCTATAGTACCAGTTGCTTGGAAAGCTGAGGTGGAAGGATCACCTGAGCCCAGCAGGTCGTGGTTGTGAACCTGCCACCACACTCCTGCCTGGGCAACAGAGTGAGACTATGACTCAAATAAACAAAACCAAAACAAAACCCATACAATAGTCTAGAAGCAAGAAGTCAAGAGCAGTACAGGAGTTGAGAGGTACAGGGCAGTAGGGAACCATAGAAGCTGACAGGAAAGACTCATATGGCAGCATAGCCGTGTAGCAGTGCACAGTGCTACAGCAGAACAATAATGATGACATGAGTGGGCACTTCCTTCTCTGGGATTCCAGGCAGAGTGCTCTCCCCGTCAAAAGTGAACAGAGAACAGTTTGACTGATCCCAGTCTAAGAGGAGATTCTCTGATCACGTGCACTCCAAGCCTTCAGGACACGGCACTGACCCAAAAGGGAGTGGGGCTGGGGGTGCTCTTGGTGTTAAACCCAGATCACCTGCACCTACAGCATACCCAGCTGAAGTTGCTGTGTGTGTGGCTGCCCACGGGCTTCCACCTGACTTTCTCTTGAGAATAGTCCTTAGAAGACATACTCCAAAAATGTCTGGGAACTACCCAACCCACATGCCCCTGCCTCACATATACATATGCATCTCACATGTGCACAGGCACACACATGCCCCTTGGTCTCGTAACAGGCCAAGACCAAGGCCCAGACTTTACCTGACACCCCATCCTAGGCCCCTTCCCTATTCTTTTTTTTTTTTTGAGTTGGAGTCTCACTCTGTTGCCAGGCTGGAGTGCAATGGCACACTCACAGTCATCGCAACCTCCATCTGCTGGGCTCAGGCAATGCTTCTGCCTCAGCCTTCCAACTAGCTGGAACTACAGGGGCACGCCACAACGCACAGCTATAATTGTTTTATTTATTGTAGAAATGAGGTCTCGCCACGTTGCTCAGGCTGGTTTCAAACCCCTGCGCTCAGACAGTCCTCTCACCTTCACCTCCCAGAGTGCTGGGATTACCGGCTTGAGCCACCGTACCTGGCTTCCCTCTTCTTTTCCATTCTTCCCCTTACAAGTGAGAGCCTTTCCTTAGTAGGTCCCATCTATCTGAACCTCTGAGTCTCAGGTTTCCCATCTAGGGAGCCTGACCCAAAACACCCCCCTACACCCTCCCATTCCTGTGATCAGAGTCAGGGGTGTACCAAGCTATAGTGAGACTCACTCTTTTGCTCACATATTTATATGAAGCATCCACTGCATCAGGCATTACTCTAGGCACTAGGGATCTACCAATAAATAAGACAGCTGGCTGCCATTGAGAGTACCATCTAGTGGAGGAAATGGACATTACCTCTGGCTACAACAGGATACACTACTCAGAAGACAGGTGTGGGCACAATTCAGGGGTCACCAAGAACCATCCAGTCAGAGAGGGCAGAGAAATTCAGCAGAAACAACACCCACACTGAGAACTGAAGGATGTGGACCCGTTAGCTGCACACCAGGCACAAGGAAGCACCAGGGAGCTGCCAGAAAAGAGCTCATGGTGTGGGAGGAACTGGAAGGAGACAGAGTGGCTAAAACTCACCGAGTGAGCAAGTATGATGGAGGTTCAAGGTAAGGCTGGTGGTATCTGCCAGGTCACCAGGCCATGTGGGGAAAAAGGCCAGGGTCTTCAACCCAAGTGTCAAGGATAGTCGCAAAAGATGACACACTCAGGTTTGAGTTTTGAAAGTAGACCCTTCAAAACTTCAGGGGAAACTCACCATCGGGTATTTTCTCTCCTTCCCCTCCCAGGACCATAACAAAGAAAGGATTAAAAATAGCCAGGCAGCTGGGCTTAGTGGCTCAGCCTGTAATCCCACGCTTTGGGAGGCCGAGGTGATTGGATTGCCTGAGCCCGGGGGTTCGAGACCCGCCAGAGCAACTTGGGGAGACCTCATCTCTATAATAAATCAAAAAATTAGCCGGGTGTGGTAGCGCACGCCTATAGTTCCAGCTACTGGAAGCCTGAGGCGGAAGGATCGCCGGAGCCCAGCAGGTTGAGGCTGCGGTGGCCGGGAGCGGCCACTGCACTCCAGTCTGGGTGACAGAGTGAGACTCCAACTCAAACAAAAAAGCCAGGCGTGGTTGCTCATGCCTGTAATCCCAGCACTTTGCCAGGTGGAGGTGACAGGATGGCCTGAGTTCAGGGGTTCAAGACCAGCCTGGACAACTTGGTGAGACCTCACCTATACGACGAATAAAAAAATTAGTCGGGCATGGTGGCGTATGCCTGTGGTTCTAGCTACTTGGAAGGATGAGGTGGAAGGATCACTTAAACCCTGCAAGTCAAGGTTGCAGTAGCCACGACTGTGCCACTGCACTCCAGTCTGAATGACAGAGTGAAACGTCGACTCAAAAATATAGAATAAAATAAAATGAAGTAAAAGATCCAAGATAGAACAAAGGCTAGGAACAGTGGCTCATGCCTGTCATCCCAACACTTTAGGAGGCTGAGGCAAGAGAATTATCTGAGCTCAGAGATCCAAAACCAACCTGGGTAACATGGCAAGACCATGTCTCTAAAATAAATGAAAAAATCAGACAGGCATGGTGGCAAGTGCCTGTGGTTCCTGTTACTTGGAAGGTTGAGCCCAGCAGGTCAAGACTGCAGTGGCTGTGAGCATGCCACTGCACGACAACCAGGGCAACAGAGACTCCAACTCAAAAAAAAAATTAGACAAAAATTAAGTTAATTAAAAATTAAGCCGGGCTCGGTGGCTCAGCCTGTAATCCCACGCCTTTGGGAGGCTGAGGTGAGTGGATTGCCTGAGCCCGCAGGTTCGAGACCCGCCTGGGCAACTTGGCGAGATCTCATCTCTCCAATAAATAAAAAATTAGCCAGGCGTGGTAGCGCGCGCCTGTAGTTCCAGCTCCTTGGAAGGCTGAGGCGGAAGGATCACCAGAGCCCAGCAGGCGAGGCTGCGGTGGCCGGGAGCGGCCACTGCACTCCAGTCTGGGCGACAGAGTGAGACTCCAACTCAAAAAAAAATAAAAAAGACAAAGTAAGGCAAAAATGCACAAAGACAAAGAGAATAGGGGAAGACAGCAGTAAATAAGAGATGGTTGCCAAGTTTCCAGAAGATAGAAAGCAGTTAGGAAACAACAACCAACTGAGGAGACTAGGAGTTGAAATTGAAGTGACATCAGAAGAAGATTCTAACAAGAATGATGCCAAGCCATTCCAAGAAGCCCAGAGCTTGATAAGATCAGGCACCATGAGAAGCAGGTGACTCACAGGCTGGAAACAGAGCTGTGGCTCAGCTGTCGAAATCCCAGCCCTTACCTGGAAGGCTGCAGATGCTTATTCTCCAGGAAAAAAACAACCCCCAGGCACAGTGGCTCACACATGTAATCCTAGCACTTTGGAAAGCAGAGGAAAGAGGACTGCCTGAGCCCAGGGGTTTCAGAACAACCTGGGCAACTCGGCAAGATTTCGTCTCTACAATAAATCAAAAAATTAGCCAGACATGGTGGCATGTGCCTGTGGTTCCAGCTAACTGGAAGTCTGAGGCAGAGGGCTCACCTGAGTCCAGCATGTTGAGGCTACGGTGGCCGTGAGTGTGCCACTGCACTCCAATCTGGGTGACGGAGTGAGAGTCTTACTCAAAGAACTTAAAAAAACAGGCCAGGCTCAGTGGCTCAGCCTGTAATCCCAGTGCTTTTGAAGGCCGAGGAGAGTGGATTGCCTGAGCCCGCGGGTTCGAGACCTGCCTGGGCAACATGGGGAGACCTCATCTCTAAAATATATCAAAAATTAGCTGGGCATGGTAGGGCGCACCAGTAGTTCTGGTTACTTGGAAGGCTGAGGTGGAAGCTTCGCCAGAGCCCAGCAGGTCAAGGCTGCGGTGACCGGGAGCGTGTCACTGCACTCCAGTCAGGGCGACAGAGTGAGACTCCAACTCAAAAAATAAATAA